CCTCGTCTTCCTCAAAAGACTCGCTTAAAATAGTCTCTTTCAGTCTTTGCAAATAAAGATGGCCCAAAAATTTGTCTCCCATAGCTCGTAGTTTTTCTCGTCTCCGTCAAAGACTAGTCGAGACCAGCGGCTTGTCACGGTTCCTTTTTCTCTTCTTCTCATGTTGAAAGACTCGGGTACACGCTTTATCCGTCGCGACTTTTACCCAGCGTCTTAACACTCCAAACGTTTTCTAATTTGCTCTGGGCCCATAACCTGTTAACAGAGTACGCTAAATAACAGACGAGAAGATACGTCTTTACCAACCGCTCAGTCGCTCTGACTGGCACCTTTTTATTAAAACAGAAAAACACGTGCATTCCTTCAGTCACTGATTAGGTCACATGACATCTAGTGACATGACACATTAGACATCTGGATTGCCTGTCCCAAATAGAAAACAAAAATACAAATACAAATGAGAGCATACTATTTCTACATGTCAATATATATACACTGAACAAAATTATAAATGCAACACTTGTTTTTGCCTCCATTTTTCATGAGCTGAACTCAAAGATCTAAGACTTTTTCTATGTACACAAAAGGCCTATTTCTCTCAAATATTGTTCTCAAATCTGTCTAAATCTGTGTTAGTGAGCACTTCTCCTTTGCCGAGATAATCCATCCAAATATTTATCGGGAGCGTGTATGCTGGGATTTCATGGAGAAAAAAGTAACGTAACTAATGTAACTAATTAAAGTCACGCGGACTTTAAGTCTATGGAAAACCATTGAAACTTTGAATGGCCATATCTATGAAGGTAGAATGACGTCAAAAAGATTTGCATACGCAGGGTAATATTTGTGGAAGTGTACATAAGACTGTAAGCGTAAATTACATTTGCATGCGCAAGAGAAGCTTTGTAAAGGTGTAAATCGTGTTTCAAGCGCAAGAAAAAATTATTTGCAGCATTTTACTGTTACTCGTAAGTGTAATTCTTGTATTGTGAAACTGCAGCTTCATGCTAACGCAAAATAAATATGATCTGCATGCTTCTGACTTCCATTTTTCCGCGATTACACTTTTGGCACGTTTTTTTCACCAAAAGACGGTCAAAAGCACTGCAAGCCCGTGAACAGTGATTTGCAAGCGAAAACAACAGTTTAAAGAACTGCAAAACGGATTGACTGCATAGAACCAATCTGTATGTGTACAAAACTAACTGTTGCAAATGTCTAAATGACTTGTT